TAAAAAGGAAGACAAAACAAAAATAACATCAAAACAACCCAAGTGTCTGGGAATAAAAAGTCACAAATTTAGCAGCGATGAGCGTGTTCAATATCGTTTGGTTATATCCAACATATCACTAGGCTACCATGGATAAAAACGTTCATCCTGAAACCATCACGGATAAAAACTTCAGACTTCACTAAAAGAAATGTACCCGAAAGACAAAGATCGTACCTTTACCAACAAATTTGTCATCTAATTCCATATTATGCAATAGTTGTATGATATCCGACCTCCCTGCAACAATTAATTGGTATAAAAACATGAACAGAACAATTGAAGGGTTGAAGGGTTCATACAAGTTCATCGGTAGGCATAATGTAGCTAGTAGATCAAGCGAAAAAACCGAAAACCGCACCAAACAACACTTGCAGCTAAAACTAGATGCAACAAAAATTTAAAACAAAATTAATTTCCCATTACTTAAAAGAACTAAATGTGCTTTGTAAACAAGCTAGCTACCAACCATGCAACTAGAAAATATACTTTCATTGTAATTTTTATAGAAAATTAAAAAATATATAATGCATACATAAAATTGATGTAACAAGCTAACCCAAAAAATCTTTGGCATGCACATTGTACGAATTTAAATAAATCAAAGCTTTTTAATTTAGAAAAACAACGAAATAATAAGATTAAAATGGATGATAAAATAAACAAAGATTCGAAATTTTCAAGCAAACGAAAAATGGCTGACAAGAAAACGCAGAAAACCGAAGGCAGAAATATGGATCTGCGCTCGGAGAGAGGTAAGAAATCGGAAAAATTCAAGGGAAAATATAGAAGCAAAACGGCAGCGGATTGAGAGACGGACCTGGCGGGGAATGGGAGCGGAACCCTAGGGTTTTTGGCGCTCCCCGGCCGAAGAATTTGCTTTCGCGGAGCAGAGAATCAGGCAGAGAGAGAAAGCGAGGAGAGAGAGAGAGAGAGACTCCGTTGTTAGCTGATTTTGTGAGAGAAGCAGGTTCACGTTTTGGAGAAGAGGAGCTCGGGGAATCACGCGCGGGATTGTCGCGTGGCGGACGCGGGAGCGGGGTTGGTTCTGCCGCGCAGGAAAAGTACAAGGAGCACTGCGCGGCGATGTGATTGGTCGGTGCGGTAGTTGTGCTTTATAGGCGCGTGAGTGTGCATTATCCATATTGTTTAATTTTCCTTTTTATATTTTATTATTTGGTCACCAGGGCTTGCTGGAAAAAAAATTGATATTCGAAAAAAAAAAAAACTTCTCTCACTCGTATAATAACATACCACATACTTGTTTTTCGGTCAAATTAAAAATCTTTTGATGGCTGGAGTTGGCAATTTTAGACACGGAGAACTTAAAATCTGTACGAATTTTGACCTTGATTGGTGAACTATTAGCTACCAATTAAATTTGATTAACATTATTCACGTTTATTATATCTTATTATATCGTAATAATTTTTTTTGTATTTTAGTGAAGCGTATAAATTATTGTCTCGATTTGTTTGTTGACCAATTTGTGGATTGTCAAAAACGCAACGCGGATAAACTAATACAAATAGGTATCATGATGATTGGAAGTAGCAATTTCAAACACGACGTTTACTTAAAAGTTTATGTATACAGATCCGAGAAGGTAAGCTTTTGGAAACAAATGCATACCTAGATACATTCCCTAGTTATTGTATTGATTTATTTGTTGACCAACTCGTAGATTTACAAAAACACGACACAAATACATTGATAAACATAAGTACCTGAATATGGTCCTATCGCAACTCTTAGCAATGGTCGAATCTCAATCGTTGGATCAAATTCTTTGGTAAAACTCAACTCGTTTCGAAACAGTTGACTGACGAATCATATTAATTTATCAAATCCCTAAATTCACTCATGACTTTTGAACAGAAGAATCAATCATGATCAGTGAAATTAATTAAGTCAATAGTCATGGTTGTTTGAACCAAAATCATAGGGTTTACACGTGGCTAAAGAATCTTGAAAGTTCAATGCAAAGAAAACAAACGGTCAGCCGAAGATGCACGTCAAGTCGGAGTTTTGGTGTACTTTTTTTTTATTATTACTTTTGAGTCCTTCTTGTGCTTTTTCGTGTACAGTGTGCAACAGCAGAAGCACTTTTGTGCTGAAATCCCTCAACCGTCCTTGTGGGTTATGGGTTGGGTAATCGGTTTGGTGGGAGAGATTCTTTTCATCTACTTGGAACACAAGTTGGTATTTTTTTTATCTAGGAATTTTCTATTGAAGAGTTTTTTGCAAAAATATTTTTGGGTTTCAATTCTTAACAAAAATGAAAGTGAATTTTGAAAAACACTTGAAGTGCTTTCAGAATCTAAAAATATTTTTTCTAAAAGTACTTTAGGTCATTTTGAAGGCATTTCTAAATGAGCCCATAATATACGTGGAGTGAAGTTTTTTTTTTTTTTCAAGTATCTATTTACTTATATTATGATATGTAGTTTGTGGGGGTCGTGTTTCGATTATACTAAAAAATCTCTCTTTATCATCTATTTCACTGCCCATGTACTTGTATTATAACACAAAATGTACCAGCTTATATTCTGAATACACCGAAAAATTTATTGTTTGGTGGGTGATTTGAGTTGTTGAAGATGACAAGTCTTTATTTTAATTTATTTCATGGTGAGATGGGAGGGTACAATGGACTCAGAATTTCATCAGAAACTTCCGTCTTTCTTTTGTCTGTCTGCTTTTGTTGTTAATCCACCTTACAAGTTATGGAATTTTAGACCAAAACGTGGACTTTTTGTTGCCACCCATTGTTTGGTTTCTGAGAAAATTGTGGGATGAGAAAAGGAAAGGGTGATTGAATTTGTCGAATAAAGGTACACAATGACAAAAATGGTTGCTTTTCTAGGTTATTTCTCATATTGTGTGAGATCAATGTGTTCGATCCGGATTGGTCATACTTTAATAAAAATGTCCTACAAATAACATGATCATAGTGGTACGACCCAAAGTTTTTCCCTATTTGGGTCAAAGTATCCATGGCCAATTTGCCAGTCATGCTCGGATATTATTCACTTGGATAAAAAATTTCAATGGGGACTTTCCTACCAATGCGATGTGATGAGTAACAGACACCATTGATACAGGTTTTAACTCGACAATGTCTGTCACACATTGCGAAAGAGTGGAAAAGTCACCGCTAAAGTTCTCGGCGCATGCCCGGAAGCATCTACACCGGTAAATGCCGGGTCTCTAGCTACCGGAACCAAGAAACATTATTGACAGTAGGACCAAATTGAAGGGCCGGCAAGAAATCTTGTGAGTTGTACATATCAAAACCTATCAGTTGCTTTGCTTGTGCTGCTGGCGATGGCTGCAAAGTGGTTGAGAACACACACGGCACAAGTAATCACAGTTGTCAGAAACACAAGGACGATTGCCTTTAAGTGAGAGAGTATGGATGCATTACGCATATTAAACCTCACCAAAAACAGAAGCTACTTATGGATATCACCCACCAAAACTTTAATAAAGTCACTTGTAACATCTCCCAACAACGTAACAAGTACACCATCATCGTAACGTTCTCAGCCAATAATACTTGATCCCAACTGTGGTTACACCAAACTTCATATTACTCTCATCGGGTGTGAGAGATGCCTAATAAATGAGTTCTCTCAACCCAAATGAGAGTTGTAGACGTCACGGTGGTTATAGTGTTCCCATTCTATTTAAGTCTTCGTTGTTGGAATGATATGAAAATAATTATTCATATTTATGACCCCCAAAATGCAATCGCATCAATTAAGGGGTCGTTTGGAAGTGTTTTTAAAATGACTACAAGCGTTTTTAGAGAAAATGATTATGGGTTCCAAAAACACTTAAAATTCTTCATGCAAGAAGCACAAATTATGCGCTTCTTATATGACGCACTTCAAGTATTTTTCCATGATTCACTTACATTTTTAATGAAGATTGGTTCTAAAAATATTTTCACAAAAAATGTTTTCAGCTATTTTGAAAATAGTTTCAAACGAGCCCTAAATCATTTTCAAGGGAGTGAAATTGTTGGAAATTTTGAGTAGCAATTTCATTGTCTCACATTGATCACTACCAAAATGTTTCCTTACTTTACAAGGCTTTGTCCCTTATAGAAAGTGATTGGAGTGATAGACCACGAAGAATAAAATTGGGCTTAACCTTAGAATTGGGCTTTGGAGTGTATTAATTAATTATCAAAAATGCACATTTGACGTCTAGGCTCGTACTCTAATAATTAAATTCTTTAATTAATTATTTTTAATTTCGAATTTAATTAATTAATTTTTATATTAATATACTCATATTTTCAGATGAAGTCTAAAGTGATGAAAGAATGCCAGAGGGCAAAACACCCCTGTAAGAAGATGTCTCTCATTCACATACATGTTGCGAACATGTATAAACCTATTATATATACATCCATATGCATGACATTTAGAACACAGAAAAATAAAATTCTTCTTCTACATTCCCAAACATTAACCACAAAGAAATTCGCTAGAAATCAAGTTTTCTGGTGCTATAATTCTGACTTAGATAATTAAATCCTGGTGAAGCACGTCCGTAGTACTACAAGTATTGAGTAGAGATGAAAATTATGTTTCAAGAACATTGCGGTACGCAAGTCTTGATTTTCAATTTGTCTGTTTAATATTATTTTGTTTTGTCATACTCTATTAAATTATTTATTCGTAATTATTATTTATTAACATATATAAATTTATCATTGATTGTTGATATTTATCCAATATGATTAAGCCAGGAAAAAAAAGGGTGGATGATTAAGTACAAGCACTAAGAATCTTATTAAAATAGTAATCATGCCCATCCCTCAAACCCACAAGGCAATAAACAAAGGACAGAGATCCTGTCCGAATCTCTTTCCATAAACAAATAACGAGATACTGAAACTAATGTTAAGATAAATTAATTAATATTCCTGGCCATCTTAACACTCTTGATCAAACGGAAAGAAAGTTGCAACATTGCAGGCCGTGGCATATATACTGTATACATACAAGACAGAAGGATCACTTATTGCCCTTTTGCATTGTTCGGTTCATACAAATGTCTTTGTAACTAGTTTCATTTGCTTAAATTAGGTAAGATGTTGAACCATTGCATGACGGTGTGGATTCAATTCCATTAGTGATTAATCTAACAAAATCTATCATTTGACCAAAAAAAAAAAAGATTTGATTTACTTAAATAGCATCGGTCTTCGACTTCGAGTCGACAACTGGGCATCGTCATTCGTCACGACTCGCATACGAGAGGCATCGCAACTAGAGACCTGCAAAGTGGGAATAACGAACAAAAATAAAGTTTTGACGTCAATTTACTAACAAATATGAAACATGTTAAATGCGGTATTCACAAAAGTTCCACCATTTCTGAGGTCAACTATGTTATTACTCCACAAAGTTGGGAATCTACTAGTTTAAATATTTGATCCAATATATTAGTGATGAACTGCTCAATAGGTAAAAAGCAAAGAATCAAGAGGATACCTAAAATTCCTATGGCCTCGTGTAAAACTAATACTATATTTAAGGCACTTCAAAAGCCGAAATTGACGACAAATTTCTTATTTTCTTCAAGTTGAATGATACTCATGGTTGCCAAAAAAAAGAAGTTGAATGATACTCATGAAGAAAATATATACCTACTAATCTTCATAAAAATGAAAAGATTAAAAGGGACAACTATTATTTGTGAGTAACCTTCAATTTAAACAAAATAAGGAACCTTTAATATAGTGAATAGTCTTATGCAAGTCAATCATTTCTGTCAAACGGAGCCGATCAGTGTTTTTTTTTTTAAGAAAAAGCAAACGAAACTGATCTGATGCTGTATTTCATATGTCCCAATCAAAAGGTATTCAACAATTGGCATCTTAGCCGGACACTGACTTTACGAGGCCAAACCAAGCCAAGATTCTAAAGATCAAATGTTCTTCAATAACAATTAATTCCCTTTCAGAATTCTTAAGAACAATCCGATTTAACAAGTATTACCCTTTCAGAGTTCTTACGAACAATCCGATTTCGGGATAGGTTCGGCAACTATTCAAGCTAAAGAGAATATTCAGATTCACAGTGGTTCTATAAATATTAGCATAGATTCGATTCCTTTAGTTTAAAGCAAGTAAAGTCATCAAAATCTCAACAACCACAAATCAAAAAGCATTCCAGCTGATAGCTACACACACCAATCGCAATTCATGCATATATGCAAATCAGAAAAATCACAAATTCAAAACCCAAATTAACCAGTTCCTTTAAAAAAATGAAAACTAATGAAAATGGTTTCAAAACTTTGAATTTTAATCAGAAGTCATCCTATAACTTTATTTAATGAAAATCACGTGCAATACTTCACCACCGCCCCATCATTCTTCTTCTCCTCTTCCTCCATCAACTACTCTCTCTACAACAACGTCTCTCTCCCTCATCCTCTCTCACAATGTAGTACTGCTATATTATATATTATTATATTGATCAATGGCACTAACGAAATGAGGTAGGCTCCGTAGATTTATAAGGCATGATGAGTTTCTAAGAGTTGCACAGAGATTGGCTAGAGGGGAAGGTACCGTTGCAGGTCTGCGTGATTACAATGACTCGGGCCAGCTTGATTCTAGTGGTGATGGCGATTTTCGTGACCACAAGTTTCAAAGTTGGCTGCATTTAACTACATATATAATTATTAATTAATCTTCGTCTATAACAATACATATTGTAAATATTAGATCTGCATGTATGTACATTTGCTTATGGGTTTTCTTCGTTGGTTAATTTTTCCAATGTTGAGCAGCTTGAAATTAAGCCACCAATATCTTTACTTTCCTTGGCTTTAACCTTTAACAAATTTGTAGTTTGATGGATATTTTTGTATTCGATTTATCGATATGATTTGCGTTATTTTTTTTTATTTTGCAGTGAAAGAAGGTGAGACAGTAGGTGGAGGAAAAGAAGAAGCCGCATATGTGCAGATAATAGAAGAAAATTAATTAGTGTAGAAAGCTCAAAAAATGAAGATATTCAAAGAAAATTTGATGAGAATCGAAGAAAATTAGAAAAAGAAAAGATGTTTGGAAGGTGAGAAAGTGCCGAGAAAATGCAAGAAGAGGAGAGAGAAGAATGGTTGTTGAACTTAATAGAGATGTACCATATTCAGTTTAAGAAATAGTCATTGCATACCAGCTTGTATGCAGCTTTAGAAATTGTGTCTTGTTTAGTTTTAAGAATAGTATAGTACTCGTGTTCAGTTTCAGAAATAGTATAGTACTTGTGTTTAGTTTCAAAAATAATTAGTGTTCAATTTTTAGAAATAGTCTTCAATTTCAAAAATAGTGTAATACCATTTCATTTCAAAAATAGTGTAGTACCATTTTATTTCAAAAATAATGTAGTATTGTTCGATTTTAAAAATAGTGTGTAGTGTGTGCCTAATGGACTCGCGCGTGTCAGTTTTTATATTATTTTTTATTTTTTATTTTTATTATATTAAAGTTTTGTACTTTTAATTAAAATATAAGTCATTTTCAATAAAATTTAAGTTTTTTATTAAATAAAATTACAAATATTTTTTTATTAAAATAAATTTAGCCAAGCTCTTTTTATTAAAACTCCTGAAAATTGAATTAAATTAAATTGAAACCTGCTAAGAGGAGTGGCGGCCCTCGCAAGCGGGGCTCTCTTCGAAGTTCTTAGTGGGGTACTTGACGGAGACCGTGCCGATCTCGAACACCAAGTTGTCGCCGCTCGACCGGATTGCGGTGATCGGCTGCCACCGGAAGAAGGCCCGGACGCTGATACCGTTGATCTTGGCGATTTTGCCCACGACGATCTTTCCGGTGATTTTCTTCGAGTAGGTGGCCACGTTGTCGGAAGGGAGGGTGACCTTGCACGTGCTGCCGAGGTCGACGATGAAGTCGCCGGTGGTGCGGTTGATGGTGTAGTTCTTGACGGCGGTGGGGAGGAGTCCGATTGGGAAGCCGTAGTTGGTGAGGTCAGTGTGTGCCGGAGATGGGCTCGGTTTTGGGTTCGGGGTGTTCGGGTGAGCGGTTAGGGGGGAGATGGGGAGGAGGAGGAGGAGGAGGAGGAGGAGGAGAGAGAAGACGACGAGAGATTTTGCCATGGCTTTTCTTTAGTTTTGGAGATATTTTTCAGAAGTGAGAAGAAAGAGCTCGGAAATATTCTTTTATCTTCCAACAGACTTCGACCTTTCCGCCAACAAGTCATTGTTATAATCTATTGGATGGTCTCTGTCCTTTCCTTCCTGGCCGGCGGTATGTCTGTTTCTTCACGTCCAGGGCCAGCAGTATGTACTGATATACGAATTCAACTTTCAGGCGCGAAGCAAATGTTATCTGATAAAGCGCAAATGTTATCTCAAATAAGCAGTGCTGACGGAGGTATCAGTCTGATAAAAAAAAAAAGATTTGACGTAGAAGGGTACCTGCCATCATGGACAGTACAGATGAAGTGGAACAAATCAATGCAATAGCTGGAAATCATGATTGGTTTGGTCATGAAGTAGAATTATCATAACGACACGAGATGTACATTTACTAACGCAAATGGACAAGACATATATTTGGCTCAGAAATTGATTAAAGGAGAAGCTCTCGAGCTCTTTAGTTAGCATGCATTTGGATATAGGTGGACTAATGACGGATATCTTCAACTCTTTAAAATGGTTGTTTCTTACTGTGGAGGTTTTTCACTAGTACTTGAAGTTTTAGGCTTCTTTTTGTTTAAAAGAACCATAGCAAAGTGGAAAAGTGAATTGAAGGAATTGAAAAGAACTCTTGATGAAAAAAATAATAAAACTGGTAAAAATAAACTTTGAAGGACTAGATGATACACATAAGGCTATAACCAATAAAGAAAGAAGATATATGTCACAAAAGTGTAGATGGATGTGAATTTTTCGGTGTTCTTCGTGAACGATGTCTTGTAACTGTTGAACACAACAAGTTGATCAATGTGCATGATTTGCTTAAGAGAAATGGCCAGAGTAATCATTTCTAAAAATCTTTTAATCATGTGGAAAGATGGAGTAAGTTATGGAACCTTCAAGAGGTCACCGATGTATTGAGAAATAAGTACATTTTCCAATAAACTTTTGGATTAATACAATATATGTCTATTATACGTCATTAAACAACATTCATGTGTATATGTAGTTGCAAAAAGAAAGCTCAATTAAGCAAAATCACGTAATCATATGCAAACAAAATCATTTTCTTACTCAATATAACCTTTTGTTAACAGAGAACTAAAAAAGTTGAAGGACTTGATAACGAAAAAATAAATTACACCTAGTCAGGGAGGACATAAACATTACCCCTAAAAAAATAGAGACAACAAAAAGGAATACACTAAAAAGAAGAGGAGACATAAACCTTACCCTTCTTGAAACAAAAAAACGAGAATGATACAAAGAAAAGAGGGGGGAGACATAAAACCTAACCCCTTTAGAACCAAACGTAAAGGTCTAAACTTGCAAAACAAGTCAAACAACACCATAAAGTTAGGAGAAAAAAAGGAAAGAAAGTGAGAGGAACCTGGATGCCGACATGCACATTAATTTGAGAAGCAATAACCTGGCAAGCCAACATAGTCAAAAAACAGAGCAGCACGAACCACCATCGGAGGAGAATCATGCCATGTTAAAGATGAAGAAGACAATCCCATGTTAGCAAAATTGTCTGCAACAAGATTTCCTTCGCGATATATGTGAGATGCGTAGAAAGTCATTTTCCGAATGTGATCCAAACAAATAGACCATTGCGTATGAAGAGGCCAAGGAGAATCAAAATCAGACGATTGAAGAGCAGAAATAACATTAGAACTATCATTTTCCAACCAAACACAATGCCAATCCCCCTGCCCAATAATAATTGCTGATAACTCTGCAAAAAAAGAGTTGTGATGACCAATCTGTTGACAAAAACCTACAAGAAAAAGACCATGGCAATTCCTGAAAACTCTTCCACATGCAGCAGGATCGGGATTTCCTTTAGAGTTTAGACAAACCATCTGTATTAAGCTTAACCCAAGGAAACCAAGGAAGAGACCAAAGGACAGGAAGAATAGTAGGTGCCTTGCGAGGGATAGGTTGGATCCCCAAAGAAGAAATGATCCGAGTGTCAAAACCTTGAGAATAATCAGGAATAAACTTTTCACCATGAACAATCGCCCAATTGATAGACATGCAAAGACGATGAAAAAAAAATTGGACGACCCTCAAAAATAAATTTATTTCGAGCCATCTAAATAGCTAAAATAGTAGAAAGACCCGCAAAAATCCATAGATTTTGCAATTGTTTGGAAAATGGCTTACGGACATAAACATCCCAAAAAGCAACTAAAGAATCTGGAAGAGGCAAAGATGTACCAAATTGACATGCTAACCACCTCCAAAGTTGCCTAGATATCCGACATCCAAAGAAAAGATGAGCAGTAGATTCTTCAGAATTACGACATAAACAACAAATGGATGCCAAAGAAATACCACATAGTTGTAGCGCATCTTATGTAGGAAGTTTATCATGAAAAAACCTCCAAGCCAAAATAGATAGTCGTGGCAGAATAAAATGTTGCCAAATAACCTTAGCCTAAGCATAATCACTATGTCTCCTTTGAATAAGGTGATAACCAGAAGAAAAAGAAAACTTCCCAGTAGGTGTGTTACACTTACCCCCCATATTTTAATTATATCTAATTTCCCCTGGAACATATTTTAAATCTATCAATTTAATCCTTTATCTCTTTTAATCCTAACCCTTGATCTAGATTCCTTATTTCTCCTAAACTACCAAGTGGCAGGTTCTCAACTCTTCTCTTCCCTCTCTTCCTGAGCACTTTCCTTTCAGACATCTTTTTCTCTCACGAGAACTCTCCTCTCTCCCTTTCTCTCCCTGCACCGTGACTAACCCAGCAAACTTGCATGCAGCTCCTGCTGTAAACCATCATCATCATCATCTATCTTGCGTCATTTCTCTCTCTCCGTCGCAGCGAAGTCGGGGAACCCAGAGAAAGGACCTTTGACGAATTTCTCCATTTCTTCTGGCTAGGTAAGTTTGTTTTCCTTTTTAAATTACCATTGTGGTTGTTGGGCGTTGTGTGATGAAAATTATGTTGTTCTTTCAAGGTTTTGAGGACGAGAACGGCACGGGGGAAACTCACCCATATTTTCCGACGAATCCGTGACCTTCAAAGGTTTTTTAGAGCTCGCATGGTTGTTCACGGCGAAGCTAGGGTATGAAAAATACTCCACTCTCTTCCCTCTTCATTTTGGTACTTGGTTTGAGTGTTGAATCATGAGTTCGCCGTCAACCGGAGCTGTAGCAGCTCTGGTGTTCTTCCCCGACAACACCTAAGCCATTAGGCCATTTCAAGCCACCCACGGGCCTTAACCCATTCTTGGACTAGCCCAGTTCCTTATTTCTTTTAGTTGGTTAATTGGCATATGGGTCGTGCCCTGCATGGGCCGTGTGTGTGTGTTGGGATGTGCGTGTGTGTGAATGTGTGTGTGAATGTGTGTTAGGCTGTACATGTGAGTGAGTGTTGGGCCGTGCGTGTGTGTATGTATGTGTGTGCATGCGTTCTGTGCATGCATGTGTATGTGTGTGCTGGCGTGTGTGTGTGTTGTGTTGTGTGGCCCAAACCACCATCCTTTTTATTCCTAGGCCTATCCAAAACCAAAACCCAATAGGTTCTAACCTTATGTAACCTAAACCCTAATTCAGATCCAAACCCAAGACCCATTTCCAATTCTTGAAATTCTATAGTTGGGTAGTTTAATAAATTGTACATTTTTGTGCTTAGGTTAAGTTGCTAGTGGGGATTTCCTTAATCATTTTCCGCACAATTCTGCTGTTACGGAGTATCTATGAGTGGACCCTTTCTAAAATTTGCATAATTTCATAATTTATTTGCATAAATGAAATGCATGTCTTACGAGTTTATAAACTGATTTTTATGTTAAGCATGTTTATGAAATATGTTGTTTATCATCTTGTTTTTGGTGAGGAATTAATTGTTAGCCTATATTGAGCTATATTTTAAAATATCATTTTTCTATAAAAACCATGAACTGGTAAACTATCTGATGGATGACGATAGGATGCTAGAACATGTTTTAGAAACTCCTCTTTATAGTTTAGATGATGGATGACTTTATACTATGAAGTGATTATTTTTTAGAGGCGTAACTATTTGTGCATACCTAGTGGACACTATGCCGCCTGGGGCGAGGATCTGGTGTTGGCTGATAAGCCGGGAGAAATAATCCCTAGCTACAGGCTGAGGGACATGGAATTGGTAATCTCTGGCTACGGGCGCAGAGACCACGGTGCTGGCATAAGGCCGAGAGATATATTTATTTCAGTGATCTTACTAGTAGTACATCACGCGACGAGACAATCTGTGAGATGTTTGATTTTTTATTTTCCATGATGACTTTTGAGATATTTTTGGCATGCTAGGGTTTTCAGTAAATCCATCACTTATTATGCTAGTAGTTTTCTTTATATAAACTGTGGGGGTTAGTATCTTGATAACTGTTTTATTATTATTGTATATATGAACTTGGTCCACTCACCTTTGTTTTGCTCCCCCATTCAAATCTTAGAAACGAGGACTATGACACAACGTACGAAGCATTCCCCTACCAGTAGCAATCTATCACTCACTTGCGTGATATCTTGTAATAATCTTTCCTTTTGTGATCTTGTTTTAGAACGTGTTCTGTGCACGCTAGACATTTCCTTAAACCTTGTTTATTACTTCTAGATTCTAATGATTATTCATGCTTATTTTCCTCCTAATCATTTTCTTGTATTCAATAAATGGCTTTCGTCACCCTCAGGTGTCGGACAGCACGTGCCTGTCCAGGTATTCAGGGAATATCAGGGTCGGGACGTGTCAAGGTGAGGGCTCCCGAATCAATTTGTCATCCTCAACATTTAAAGGCAAAGGCAGACGTAAAATCTGTTGCACAATTGAAGGGAATACATTTGTAATCTGGCAAACATCAACTTTGTGCTTCAATAACATCTAAAACCCGAGGAAGAACCTTAGGTGAAATGACCGAAAATAAAGAAGGAAACTGACCTCCCATCACCAATAATCCAACGACTATTATTATTCAAAATAGGCAAAGCACGCTTCAAACCATGCCACACAGAAGACCGTAAATAGATATTTTGATTTCTGTAAGGCGAAAGAGGAAAATGCTGATGAGCAAAAGAACCCCACGGAGAATATGATTGTAAAGCATCCCATTCAAAACTAAGCAAAGCCGTCAAATTCAAAGAAGATAAATCATGAAGACCAAGCCCACACACCATACTACAAACAACTGTTACCAATTTCCGGGAAGATAAATCCCCTGACCAAATAAAATTCCTTGCGCAAGCAGAAAGATGATTTAAAACGCAAGATGGCAATTGATAAACTGAGAAGCTATGGAGAAATAAGCTTTGATAAACAAACTGCACCAATTGAAATCGTCCAGCCATTGAGAGAAGTTTACCTTTCCAACCCGAGAGGCGAGCTTTAGCCTTGTCTACCAAAGATTGAAAGTGAATTCTCCTTGACTAAAGTTGAAGGACTTGCTCAGTATCGG